TCTCTGGGCTTTCGATCACTCCATTATCACTGCTAGGATCAGAGTTCCTGAGGAAACTTGGTCGTTTCTGGCACCCTCTCCCTCCCAGAGCTCTTCCCCCCACCCCAGAATGGATTTGTGTTTACCCCTCTGACTTTTGTTATTCAATCATCCCCTCCACCACCCCCACAACCCCCTGCCCCGAACAATCAACAGTTAGGTACTTCCATCACCACAACCACCACACCTTTCTGGCTAATGGCCCTACAGAGCTCACTCCCAGGTACAAGGGTGTCAGTTTTCAGAGAGGAGGTACACATATGGAAACAGCACAGAGCTCTGGAAACGGCTGCTAACACCCTGACATATGTGCACAGGCATCCATCAACCATGGGATGGACCCAAGGAAAGCTCCGTGAGTCTCAAGTCCTCTGCATCATCCTGTCTGTCCTCTCCTCAAAGGGACTGTAGAGGCAGAGTGCCAAAAACGCAAAGGGACAGTAGTTTTCATCACAATCCCCAGAATCTAGCCATCTTGGTGCACTCAGTTCCTGATTCCAGGGACATTCATGGAGCTCTGCAGCACCTTGAGGGCAAAAGCTCTGAGACAAATTTGTAGGACACACGTAGAAGCCATGGTTCCTCTTGGAGTAGGCCAATGCGGTCTGGTCCTGTTACTCATAAGGTGGTGGCCTTAATATGATCCCACCAGACCAAATGTTTTGCCAGCCTTCCTGCTCTAGAGCGCCAGCAGTCTGGAGCTTGCTTTCCCACAGGTGGAGGCCACTACACCCAACCAAAGACCCAGGCAAGTAGCTATGTGTTTTCACTCATTCACTGACCACACTACAGTAAGTACCAGATGTAGCTGTCTATTCCTTCAAGCAAGACTAGAAGGGAGACAGCTCTGAACGAATGACAGAAGTGACAGCTGACAGGCTGTGATTCCAAGAGGTAGAAAAATAATTGGTTCTACAGCCATTTTGCCAGAGGACACAAAACTGAAGGTCATAACAATGACTTTGAGCTAAGTAGAGGTTAAGTCATATCTCAATGGTAGAACAGTGCCTATTATGTACGAGGCTCTTGGTTCGTCCTCAGCAACACACACACACACACACACACACACACACACACACACGGGCACACGGGCACACGGGCACATGGGGGTGCAGGGGGGATAGGCAAGTCTAGTTGTGTTAAGGGTTCAAAGCACAAACGTTTAACCCCAGCATTCAGGAGGCAGAGGCAGTTGGATCTTTGTGAGTTTGAGGCCAGCCTGGTCTACAGAGCAAGGTCCAGGACAGCCAGGGCTACAGAGAGAAACCCTGTCTCAAAAACAAACAAACAAAACAAAATTAAAAAAAAAGTTCAAAGCTTGTCTGGGCTACAGGCGACAAAGTTTCTAGACGAGTATGAATCATTTGTTGAACTGTCTCAAAGCTTAACAAGAGTGGGTGGGAATGTAGCTCAGTGGTAGAGTACTTGGCTGAGAAGGAAGAAGGAAGGAAGGAAGGAAGGAAGGAAGGAAGGAAGGAAGGAAGGAAGGAAGGAAGGCAGGCAGGCAGGCAGGCAGGCTAGCCTGGGGTGCAGGGACTCTTGCCCTTAGTGGGAAAATGTTTTCATCACACACAAGCATCTGGGTTCCATCAGGGTGTGATGGGACCACAATCAGGCCGCAGGTAGAGGGAGGTCGGGAGGACAAGCAGAAAAGGATGGGAAATGTGGGGCACAGGCTGGCAGACGCCTAGGGCTCAGAGACGAATGGAAGATGCAACTGGAGAGAACTGAAGGGCTGGTCCCATTTCCTTTTGCCCTCCTTCCTGGACCATTACTCCCACTATCTCATGTGGCTACGTTTAGATCAGGGACTGGAGGCGTTAAGAGTAGGGTGGTTAACAGGGTCCAGTGTGGAGGGACAAGGTGTTATGACTTCAAAGCTAATGCCCCACAGTTCTGTGCAGCCCTCATACAGGGAGTAGCCATGTGAGAAACAGCAGCTCTCAACTGTGGACATTGTATTGCTTGAGCTGAGGCTCCACTCTTAATCATGGCTAAGCCACTTTAACCCTCAGAGCGTGTCTCCTTGTTGCTAAATAAGGACTGTGTCCCTGGAGATTTGTAAAGATCAAATGAGATAGTGGATGTCAAAAACCTCTGTCAACTACCAAACACTACTTACATGAAAATCTTTATACTAAGTGGGAGCTAGATTTCCAAAGCAAGGTATTATTGGTCTCTCTTCACCATTGCCCATCTGCCTCTTATATACTCAGAGGTCAGGAGCCTGAGTGGGGCGAGGCCTGAGCAGCTGAGAGACAGGCTGAGGGGAACAATGCAGCGATGACATCAAGAACAGTCTCAGCTCCCAACCTGGCAAGCCGGGACTGAGGTTAGAACCTCACCGGCCTATGGCCCCATTCTTAGGGCAAGCGCTCTGTGGAGACATCCGGATTCTTGCTGTATGTTTGCTGGTGCTTATCGCCTTGGTTATGGGAGACCGATATGGGGGCGGGGTAGAAAATGAGGACAAGGCAGCAGTCTGAAAACCACTCCACTGTTGTTTCTTGTGTTTTGTCTGAGTTGAATCTGTCCTGTTGAACAGGCAGGGAGCCTTGTCCCCCTGAGTGACAGAGGTCAAGCCACTGAACAAGAAGCCAGGAGGATCTAGGCATTCCCATAATTCTAGTTATTCGGGAGACAGGGGGATCACAAGTTCAAAGCCAGCCTGGGTTTTGGGATGACTTTTTAAAAGCTAGTGTATAAAATTAGTGCGATCTGCTTGAAAAAGGGTGAGGGCTGGGGATAGGAAAACTGCATGCCTAGCATGAGGAGGCTGGAGGTTCAGTCCTGAGCTCTGATGCGGGACAGGGAGGTTAAGACCCTGGGCTGACTCAAACCTCAGCAAGTACTGAACTGAGTCTTACTCCCCCAGGTAGAGTGCAGACAACTGTCCTGGAATTTGAAAAGCACCCCCATCCCTGCCGTAGGACAGCCTACCCGAGAGCCCGAAACCATGTTCCTGCCTCAAGGATCTTTCAGCTCACAAAACCGGTGGGACTCTGGCAATTTCTTGCCTGTTCAGGCTACTAGGTTCCAGTACCAGAAGATAAGAGAGCAATAAAAAACCAGCTCCCAAGTGGAGGGGGCTGCAACAAGACCCCTACCCTGCCCCCATGATTGACAGTGGTTGCCTTCCACTTCCTGTGAGATTGACAGTTGGGGCCCAGCTAGGTGTGGGACTCAAGCAGCCTCAGTGTGGTTATTTGTGCAGGCTCTTCTTGCCTCCCCTCCCCACAACTGTTTCCATTCTCACCACGCAGTCACATCCGGGTCATGCACACAGGACAGCGGCTGGGGCTTTCCAAGGGACTTCTGAGAAAGCCAGTGAAAGCTTAGGCGTTGGCTCCAGAGCCTAGGCACTCTTGGGGAAACCCTGCTCCCTCTCGGAGGAAGGTTCCAGCCTGGCAAGAGTTACTCCAGCTATCCACCAGGGTCCCTCTCTGACTGAAGAACTCCATACCTATGGAGCTCTATGGCTAGAGAACACCTTCAACAGCAGTTTGGAATTGAGGGTAATGACCCATTCCCTTAGAGCACAGGTCACCTAGTGGGTACCTGAATGGATGTGAACAGCCTGGTCACTACCAGTTTGCTTTCCACGGGCTGAGACAAGACAAGTGGAGTCAGGAGACAGCCACCCTTCCTTCTCACACTTTACACAAGTGACAGCAGCTCATTCATCAGACAGAACCTGGTACAGGTGCCTCTGCTAGCAAGGTGATGCTCCCCCAACAGGGAGGTTCAGGGCATCACCACCAATTTTAACTATTGTGAAGATGGTGTTAAATACTGAAGAACAGCTACTAGCTGGAAAGCAAATTTTTACATATTACTCTTTATTATTATTTGGTTTTTTGAGACAGAGTCTCACTATGGAGACCAGACTGGCCTTGAGCTAACACCAACCTAAGCTTCTGGGTGCTGGGAGTTCAGGCATGTGCCACATCTGGCCCTTTTAGACTAGCTACATAATTTTCTTATTTTTCATTTCCAGTCCTTACAACCCTGAAGTAAACAGACATGGCGAATAGGAGTTCACTCATATTTTACGGATGGACACAATTTCTGTGACTTAAGTGAGAACATATTGTAAACTTTATTATAAAAACTACTCGTCAACTTGTCAGATTGTCTATGAACAAACCCACTTTTTTAGACATTGATAAATTCTTTTCTTCACGTGATATTTTATACAAGAACACTTCAGATGTGCTATTAGATGTGACTGATTTTAACAAATCCTATTAGATTTGTATCAGCTAGTTATATGTTCTATTCATAGTCTTTTGTGAATCATTGCCTTTTTGTTTCTAAAGATGGCCTATTTTGAGCCTTTGTATAGGTACATTCCTGTTTTTGTGACAAAAAGAAAAACTTTAAACTGTCCCAAACAGAAAAATAATGGCTATCAGAAGTATGTTTTGTTTTAGTGTGAGTTACCGTTACTGTATTTGTTTGTTGTAAAGGTGGACATTTAGCATTCAGTGCAGTTTTCAATAAAAGTAATTAAAATTTCTGTTAAAAAATAAATAAATAAAAACTACTCGTCTTGGTCAACGTGACATTAACTATGGCTCCCTCCTAGGGAGGGCCTGCCTTTCGTGTGAAACTCAAAGATGCAGACCAAAGGCCATCAAGGTGAGCAAGAGAAATGTGAAGTATGAGTGAGACTTATAAAAGTACAGCAATGGCAGAGAAATGGAGAGAAAAAGTGAGAAGTAAAAACTAGGTCAAAGGTAAAAGCACTAAGGAGTCTTGGGACTCTTTCAGGAGACTACTACATCAGGCCTAGACGGACAATCGGCTTCCATCAGAGGGGTCACATGCCTCAGGACAGCAGGCCTTCCCACAATACACCAGCTAGTGCAGAAAGGCTGTGTGTACTCTGCAGCCTCAAGGCCTCAGCTGAGCTGCCTCCGCACTCACTTTGAGAGAGACAGGAAGGAACACAAGGCATGGGCCACAGCTTTGATCACATCCCAAAAGTTCATTTTATTGGTATTGAACCTAAGTCTTGCCCACAGACAAAGGCAACAGCTTGGGCAGAGGTAGAAAAACCAGCATCTTACTCTCTCCTTCCTACAGTCTCGAGTCCACTAACCCAGACGCTCACGCTTCACCAGTTGTCAGAGAAAGGGAAATGACTCAAGGGCTGGAGGTGCTGCTTTCATGGGGGTCTGCCGACCTGACGCAGAGGGTAGGGAGTATTTGAAGTTCCGCCTCTCTAGCGCCACAGGAAAACACGCACAGGCCAGAAAGAAAGCAAGACACTGTGGGCTGCACCTGCCTAGGTCTTTATAGCTGTGTCTCTGGATTTGTAGGCCACTCCTCGACTTTTCAGCTCCCGAACAATTCCTGTGACAGGAAAAGAACAGTCCCATGAGAGAGTTACAAAGGTAAAGCCACCCCACCTGTCTGTCACTGTGAAGTGGGGTTCCCTGATTATTACCTAAGACTCAAGAAAAGTGTCTGGCAAAGAGCTGCCAAGGAAGAACAAAAAGCTGGGCTCACACTCATCGAAAACAAAGGTTTGGCTGGGCAGTGGTGGTGCATGCCTTTAAGGCCAGCACTTGGGGGGCAGAGGCAAGTAGATCTACAGATAGGCAGAGGGCAGCCTGTCTACAGAGAGGGTTCTAGGACAGGCTCTAAAGCTATACAGAGAAACACTGTCTCAACAACCCCCCTTCCAAAAAAAAAAAAAAAAAAAAAAAAAAAAAACCCAAAGGTCTAGAGCCAAAGGTCTGGGCGATATCAGTCAAGTTACTGGTGTCAATTCACATGAAAGACTGGTTTCCCCTGGGGCCGTAGTAGAACCACTGCTACAATCGTTATTACCTTGGGGCAGGCGGCCAGTGACTGACACAGCATATACACCTGGCTTAAAGTTACCTGAGGAAAAAAGGGGATCACAATGGGAATGAGTTAAGACTGGAAACCAGTGGAAAATTGGGCTGAAAATGGGAGAGGGGTGGAGAGTAAAGTGTGTGTGTGGTGTGTATGTGTGTGTGTGTGTGTGTGTGTGTGGTGTGTGTGTGTGAGTGTGTGTGGTGTGTGTGTGTGGGGGGAAGACAACTTGTGAAGTCAATTCTTTCTTTCCACCATGTGGGTCCCCAGGAATCAGGATCATTCAGGTTGTCCAGCCTGGCATTGCTGGGCCATCTTGCCAGCCCCAAGGCTGTACTTTCCTATAACTCCATCTTTCCCACCATGGGGGCACACACCCTGCTGATTTAAGGGTCCCTGCAGACCCCCAGGCACATTCCCAACACTGCACAGAATAAGAAGACCGACACTTACTGACTCGCTGCCACTTGGAGACCCAGCTGTCTTCTGGACTCATCATCGCAATGATTCTAGAGAGAGAAAAGCAGAGTTAACCTGAGCGAACAAGCCAAGTTAGGGAGGGACAACGGTCTTTCAGTTTATGTCCCTGGCCAGCCAGTTCAAAAGAGTTTTGCGTATGATCAGTACTGACTATGATCAGCCCAATCATGAGAAGCTGGAGCCCGAGGGAAAGGAGTCAAAACAATGGATCATCTTACTGGAAATGAAGGATACTTGACCAAGCCCATCCTCTAACAATCTGTGCAGTGAAATACACATGGAGACATTTCACAGATTTTCATCAATGAGAATTGGAAGCTGAGTTAACATGCAAAGCACCTAGTACAAAGACTGACAGAGTAGACCAAGGGTCGCTTCTTATTCCAACAATCCCTTGGCAGGTGGCTCTGATTCCATGCACTAGCGGTGAGCAGAAAGGTGACTAGAGGGCTAGGAAGGCACTATGTGAGCAGGCAGGCACTATGAGGAGCAACAGAGGTTATTTCTGTTACTCACCTAATAGTTCCCGGAGTCTAAATTCTCAGGTCTGTTCTAGGAACTGAAACATGTTGACAGCCTCCCCCAAGGCCATTTTGTTTTCCTGGCAACAATGCTGGAGTCTATGTTTTCACTCATGGTTTAAGTGGAGCTGATTTCACATCCAGGCTGGCCACCTGGCTCTGTAGACTGATCCAGGATCGTCACATACAAAGGCTCTCCTGCCACCATCAGCACTTTCTCTGCCCTTCACAATCTATCCTTTCAGTCTATAGCCTGTTACCTAAGTGATTGAATGCCCACATTTCTCCAAACATATCCAGGTGTCCTACCCTATGCCTCTGGCTCAGTCATACTCCTTTATTTGAAATGTTATTTTTACCTCATCTCAGCTTCCTCCAAAATTCTACAGTTCTAGTCAGGCCTGAGTGGGAAAGTCTGCAATCCTAGCTATTCTAGAGGCTGAGATAGGACGATTTCAAGTCCAAGGTCTCTTTGCCCAACTTACAATGATATTGTTTCAAAAATAAAAAAGCAAAAAGGGAGGGCTAAAGATATTCTCCCTCCCTCTCTGAGGTAGAAAATTAGCTTGGCATTCACAAAGGCCCCATGTTCAATCCTCAACAATATATATAAAATAATAAGCAAAAATGAAAAAAGAATCTTATAGTTCTTTAAGATTAACAGCTTAGCCAGGTGGTGGTGGCACACACCTTTAATACCAGTACTTTGGAGGCAGAGGCAGGCTGAGCTTTGTGAGTTCGAGACCAGCCTGGTCTACAGAGCAAGTTCCAAGATATCCAAGGCTGTTACACAGATGTTCTTTTTCCAAAAGAAAAAAAGATTAATAACTTAGATTAACAACTAGCTCCCCCCGCCCCCAACCTCCCCCCACTAAAATAATGTAGCCTTCCTCTGGCTATAATTAGCCTCTGACTTGCTTTCTCTTTAAAACCTGGAAGAATACACAACTCAGCAGTAACAAAATAAACCAGATTTAAAAGTGGGCAAATAGAATTGGGGATACAGCTCAGTTAGCACAGTGCTAACCTAGCATGTCCTAAACTGGTTTCCAGGGGGTGTGGTAGTGAACACCTTTAATCCTAGGAGGTGGAGGCAGGAGGATCAGGAGTCATTCTCCATTACATACCAAATTTGAGGTTAGTTTGGGCTGCATGAGACCCTGTCTCACAACAAGACAAAAGCAGGGGCAGTGGAGGAGGGACTTGACTTTCGTTCCTTTCCTCCCTCCCTTCCTCACACTCTTCTTGCTTCTCCTCCCAAATGCTGGACTACAGCCCTGCACCATCATGGCCTAATGACTTTAACAAACTATAAACACATAAGGCAAGTGACATTGGGCTTAGAATGTAGCTCAGTGATAGAGAGCTTGCCTAGTGCATGTAAAATGTGGGTTCAATCTAGCACTGTAAAAAGAACTTTTTAAAGGGCTTTAGCAATAATAAAAGCTATTGTTATCAACAATTAGAGAAATGTAAATCAAACCAGCAAGATATTTAATTACTATCTATTATGGTGGCAATTATAACGACATAACCCACAGCCATCAATATGACTCTTAAGAATAAATAAGAAAGCCAGGCAAGTCATATGGTGGTGGCATACACCTTTAATCCCAGTACTCAGGAGGCAAAGGCATTCGAATCTCTGTGAGTTCGAGGCCAGCCTAGTCTATAGAGTGAGTTTCAGGATAGCCAGGACTATTTTACAGAGAAACCCTGTTCCAAAAACAAACAAAAACAAAAACAAAAAACAAAAAAACAAAAAAAAAAAAAAAAAAAAAAAAAAAAAGGAAAGCCAGGTAAGCCAGATAACTTTAATCCTAGCACTTGGGAGACAGAAGCAGACAGATTTCTGTGAGTTCACGGCCACCCTGGTCTATATATGAAGTTCAAGGACAGCCAGGGAGACAGAAACTCTGTCTCAAAAAATAAAAACATGGAGATCTGCCTGCCTCTGCCTCCCAAGTGCTGGGATAAAAGGCATGCACCACCACAGATCAGTGTTTTTATTATTATTTTTCTAGTTAACTTTTTTTTTGGGGGGGGGAGTGCCCTTTTTTCACAGATGCATGCATGCCAGGGCACACGTATTGATGTCAGAAAAACAATTCTAGGAACTCAGTTCTCTCCTGCCACCTTGTGGGATCCAGGATTGAAGTCAAAGTTAACAGGCCTGCCATCAGGCACCTTCACCTGCTGAGCAATCTAGCTGATCTTGTGTGAGGCAGAGTCTCAGATAGTACGGACTGGCCTCAAACACATTATGCAGTTAAGGCTTGCCCCAAACTCCTGATTCTCTGGCTTCTCCCCCCTCAGATGATGAGATCAGGTGCAAGCCACCATGCTCACTAAGATAATGTTGGAGGACATAGTTTAGTGTAACCATACCTTCCTTTCCCTTCATTTTAAAAATACATCTTCATGCATCTGTTTTGGGGGAAGCATCAGGAATTAAACCGAGGGCTCTGTACATGGTGGTCACATGCTCTACTGCTGGATTATACTTCCAACTCTTCAACATTAAGCATCTACCACCTCCTACAGCCTGTGCAGGCAGTGGTGTTCAAGAGAAACACAGTGTCAGCTATCACTGAGTTGACAAGAACAGGGAGGCACTGCTAAAGAAATACAGAAAAAGGACACACCATTTTAAATTTTCTCCTAGCCACTGTCTAAAACAGTAAAGATGAAATTAATTTCAATATTTAACCAAACAATTCCAAAACATTATTTCAACATTTAACTAATCTTAAAAATTAGTATTATTTGGCATTCTTTTCCTTCAACTTGAATCTCTGCTCTCTGGTGCATATTTGATACTTAAGCATTCTTTTTGTTTATTTGTTTTGCAAGACAGGGTTTCTCTGTGTAACAGCTCTGGCTGTCCTGGAACTGGCTCTATAGACCAGGATGGCCTCAAACCCATAGAGATCCACCTGCCTCTGTCCACGGAGTGCTGGGATTAAGGGTGTGAACCCCCCCACCCGGCCCTTAAATATGTTCTAATTTGAACTAATAACATGTCAAGTATTCAGCAGATAACATGTCAAGTATTCAGCAGCTACAGGAAGCTCACAGCTACTGGTCTGAATACATAGAACTAGTGGGTCTCAAAAGGGCTGCTGAGACCAGCTAGTCTTAGGACTTCAAAAATCTGCCCTCTATTTACTTCTTGGGTCACAGTCAACACTGCTCAGAAGTAAACAAAGGAACATGAAGGGCTTACCCGTCGAATGAGGAGCTGGTGCAGTCATACACCATCTCTCTGTTGCCCTTCATTTGTAAGTAGGGCTCACAATTGTCACACCCGTCATATTCAAACTGGTCTATAGTCTGGAGAGAAAAAGAACATGGAGGATGAGCATGAACAAGGTCTTAATATTTCAACGAAGACAACCTCTTGGTTCTTTATGTAGTCCAACACCTACTGCTCTCTACTACTATTCCCAAATTCCATCCTCACACTCCTTTCTTCTCTCATCCCTAATTCAGCTTGTGTACTCTTTCTCGTCTCGTTGGGGGTCAGTTAGGTACCCTCTCCAGCTACTCTCTCAGCTGCTTTGGCTCCTAGCGTCTTCCCAGTCCAACACTAAGTTCACCGAATTGCCCCGTCGGGGAGCCAAGCTTAAGCCGCAATGCAGGTACGCTCACCCCGCTCACGTTCTTTCGACGTAAACAATGGTTCCCTCGGGCTTCCCACTCCGCTGGCGATCTCCTGGGATCTCAGATCTTTCCCTTTTCTGTCTGTGACCCCATTTCACCCTCCTTCTCTCATTTTGCCTCCTCATTCGCTCCTATAACCAGGTCCCCGACCGACACCTTGACTAACGAACACAGCAAACAAGCGCGCAGATGCCGCAGGTCCTTCGGCACCGTCTCCAGGGCCATCCTCACCGACACGACAAAACCCGGCGACAGATGGTCACGGTCTCCACGGCCGCAGGAAGTAAACAGACCATTACCCAGAATGCCTGCCACTTGCCGACGCAACTTCCTCTTCCGGTGCAGGCGGTCTCCGGCCCCGCCCCTCTCCCCCTTGGAGGAGATGGTTTCTCCCGCAGGGGACGTGGGCGGGGCAGCCGGCAGCCACCTGGGCCGCGCGCGCCCGTCACCTGGACTCGCGTGAGCGAGCGGAAGACGGTGCGCAGGGGTTGGTTGGGCCCATAGGGGCGGGACAGTGGGGTGCGGTCAGCGCATGCGCAGGAGGCGTGGCGTGGAGCAGCTTGCGGAACTGAGCCCGGTAACGCGGGCCTTTTGATGTAGACGCCTGGAGGTTGGCCCCAGTTTTCTCAGGATCCCCGATGAGGATCTAGATTGCGCTGTCTGCTTGTTTTAGTTTGTTTGCTTACTTATTGCGACAGTAAATGGTAATTCCTAAGCTGGTCTCTGCCTGCAGGACGGCAACCTTGATCTTCCTGCCTTCCCTTTCAGAGCGGTGGGATTTTGGGCGTGTGCCACAACGCCTGGGTATTTTGAGACAAGGCTCTTCTGGTACTCCTTATCCTCGTGTCTTAGCCTCCAGAATGCTCAGAAGACAAGCCTGCAACTTCACGCTAGGTTGCTTTAAAACCTGAGGCAGTGAGTCCTGGCCTTTCTGGGTCGTCTGCAGAGACAGAAAACCAACCAGGCAAGGCCCCGCCCCTTCTTGTAACTGCAATGGTGTGATAGGGTTTCGTTTGCGGTCCACAGGAATGCTAGCCAGAGCCGTGCCGACAGGGGTGGGGGCAACGCATATTCATTTCCTCCTAAAAGCCTCATTTGCCCTTTGTGAAACTCTTGGCACATTTAGACATAATTTCACGAGAACCTCTGGAGATTAGGTACACCTCACTTCTCATACACTCCCCCACCTCAGCCGCCATTGAACAGTGTGTATGACGCAAAATTCTTTGCCTTCTGAACTGGGCAGCCAGACACCTAGTATCCTTAGCAAAACACACAGAAGCACGAGGTATGGTGCAATGTGGTCAGAGCCAAAGACCCCTGCTGAACCCAGGGGATTTGTAGAGCGCACGAGAAGAGTCCCCCCACCCCAGGAATTCATAGAAAGTACCAGTTCAACTCTTGGAGTGTAGACAAAATGTAGTCATTGTGTTTACCTGAATCGGAGTGCTGGGATATAAATAGTAGAAATCCCTGCTGTTCTGTCCTTCCAACCCTAATTGAAACTGAACTACGGACAGACTGATTCGTGGCTGTTCCAAGCTGCCTTCAACAGGCTTTTAGATGGTTCCTAGCGCTCCAGTTTGGCAGGCGTTTTCACTGAGCTATCTCATGTAAGCCTTGTATCAACTCTGAAGGAGGATCATATTATTGATGGAAAGAGCTAGGTACCCTGCTGGGGAACTGGCTCAGGACCCACCACATAAAAGCTGGGCATGATGGTATGCATCTATAATTGCAGCACTGGGGGCCAGAGATAGGCAGATCCCAGGGACTTGTCAAAACAGAAAGTTCCAAATTCAGTGAGAGACCCTTTTTGTTGTTTTCTTGTTTTCTCCAGAGGCAGGGTCTATTATGTAGCGCTGGTTGTCAAAATCACACCTGAATACACGTGTGTACACACACATACACTACATACACACCATATTTGGTTAAGGTCCCAAGGTAAGTCACTGAAGCATCAGAGTGAACAACAATACAATATAGACAAATAACGGACTCCCAGTGAGAACCCCGGCATGCTGTTCTCTCTGATCTTACAAAGCCCTATCCTTAGAAGCTTTTGACATCACAACATAAGAAGCTGGACCTAATAACAGTGCATGCCTATAATCCCAGTAATTGGGAGGGGGAAGCAGGAGGGTCAGGAGTTCAAGGCTAGTCTCAGCTATGAAGTGAATTTGAGTCAGGCTGGCTCTCAAAAACCAACAAAAGGAAATAGAGCAGATAAAATTGTTATCTTGAATGGAAAATCATAATGAAACAAAACCACAAAACCAGATCATATTTATGGATAAATATATTAGCAAATAAATACATTTCTCAACATAGTGCCTGATTCAAGCATCTTTCTGTCTGGTTCAGATATAAATACCCATGTGGGTGCCTGGGTGCAAGTTTCCCCACTGACTTTGAGGAGAGAAGGCTCCCAAATAGGATCCCGTGCCAATTTTGCCCCCACATTCACATTCCAGGCAAGGACAATGCCCGAGGGGCTAACAATAGGCAGGATGCCCCGGGATGAAGAGCTACAGGAGGCTCCTCAGCCCTCGCCCACTTGGTACAAGCTGCACAGGCCAACTAGTTGCTCAATTCCACATGCACACACACACACCTTCTGTAGGGTTGTTGATTTGTATGGCTTATACTGGGAAGGGGGGCCCTCTGGGCCTTGCAAACCCTCGAGGCCACATGTTATTCTCCATCTTTGCTCTGAGAACCTCTCCAAGAAGAATCCTGTCCTCGCTCCGCTGTCGGCTGTGCTTTTGCTTTCCCTGCCTTCGTTTCATCCTCCCCAGATGAAGTTTAGTAGAGATTCCTTTCTGCCTGCTGTGGGATTTAGAGACAGGAGAGCTTCAAGGAGGTATTCTCTCTATTCCTGTTCTCTATCAGAGGAACTGGAGTTGCTGGAGTGACAAGGAGTTTGATAATCAAAAGATTCATCCCAGGTTTGTCCAAGTCCCCACCTCTAGAACTGAACTCTACACCCTGGCTCCCGAAGCCTGCAACTTAAGATCAGTTTAAGAACAGGGAGGAAGAACCACTCCTCCCTGAGCACCAGGGCAGGCACCAGCTAGAGAAGGTGCAGAGGCCTCCCTAGGGACGAGGGCTCACCTAATCTCCTTGTTCTTTTGTGACCAAGGAAAATAAAGCTGAAGTTGCCTCCGTGAAGCCTTGAAAGGAGATGAGAAGTGACCATACACTCAGCTGAACCCACTGGCTTGTATGAATGAAGCCAGGGGCAAAGGGGACCCAGTAGGGGACCCAGCTGGGCTTGGGTAAAGAGCAGCACCTTGAGGACACCTGGATATCCACACTAGCTTCCTGTCAAAAACTCAGCCTTTAGGGACCCACCTCACAATTGCTTAGTGACTGGTGGTCTGGCTGGACACAAGACTTTCTGCACAGTAGGTGTGTTCTACAGACAAGACCAGAAACTGAGGGCAAGAAACAGCACCTCCCGCCACCCACCATCACCAGAACTCTTCTTCCAGTGGTCCCAGGAAATGTGGCAAAAAGAGATGCTTGCTAAGGCTCTTGCTTCTCCCAGGAGCAAAACCCTGTGCCCAGTAGAGCTCTGCGTCATCTGGAGCACACTCTTGGTTGGAGCTACGTCTGATCATCTCCCATCACACAGCCTGCTCACACAGCTCCTCGAGCTCCTCCTCTGAGCCTGCATGAGAAGAAGGGGGAGAAAAGAGGTCACAGAGTGTCCAGCCAGTCTGCTGCTCCCACCTGTGGAGACTGGCTGGGAAGGGACCACAGAGAGGGAGGAGCAGGAAATATGTCTGGAAAGGTGATTAGGTTGAAAGCTGAGAGGAGGCCTTTGGGAAACGGGAGATAAAAAACAAACCTAGAGAAATGCTTACAGCAACCGCTGTGTGACCAGCACTTACTATTCATTCATTCACCCAATACATATTTATTAAGCATTCATTGTGAACTTGGCTTGCTATCACTTGCTGAACAGAATCGCCAAAAGAATAAGCTAGGAGAGGAAGCATGCATGCACATGAATATTTTGACAGTGGGGCAGAACTAGGGTCAGAGGAGATGCATCATGGGAGGAGAGCACATCCAGACCCAGCAGCTGGAGTTACAGGACTGGTAGGAATTGGGTTTGTAGGGAGAGGGGAGTCAGTGGGGTATTCTGGGCAAGCAGGAACTATAATTAGTGTTTGCCCAATGTGACTGAAGCAGAGGGCAGAGGAAGGGAGACGGAGCTAGCTGGTTAGATTTTCCCTTCCTGTGGCCCTAAGAGAACATTTGCCTCTAGACAGTTCGTTGAAGGCTGGCAACCCCAGCAATAGTGTGGAGGGGCAGAGGGAGATGTGCTACTACACAACTGTATGGGACACAACACTAGGTGCGCAGCCCTCTTGCCTTCATGGCCCTGTCAGAGGGAGGCTCCTGCCATGACCTTCAGGCTGTACCCCATGTGGGTAAGGCCGTCAGTGGACTGGAAGAGAAGGTGACAGAGTGAGCAGGGGCACAGGGAACAGTGAAGGTGGGGATGGAGGAAAGGGTAGAGCAAAGGTGGCCCGACTCTGGCAGCACTCAAAGCAGATGTGAGAGTCCAAGGGGATCTCTGCACACACCACATGACCATGGACACCTTCATCCTACACACGGTTTTCATGCATTCCTCCCCAAGGACCTGGATCTCCTGGATGGCAAGCTCCATGTTCTCAGAAGCCTGGCTAGAACCTAGCATATAACAAGCATGTAACCAGGGGGAAATGGGTAAATGCAGGACAGCAGCTCTCAGGCTCTGCCTGTAGGATCCCAGGCCTTGTACTTCAGGACCTCTGGGGTCTTCCTTTGAGGTAGAAGGGTTCTTCTAGCAAAGGCTATAGGAGTTCATATAATGTCTCCCAAAGGTGGGAAGGAGAGGGAGGTATGAGACTTGGAGAGGGAGGATGGTTTGGGCAAATACATGTGCAAAGCTTTGGCTTAGAGCCAAGGATTTATAATGGTTGAGACACAGATATGCCATGAGTTCCCATGAAAATGTGGCTGGCCTTATTCACAAGAGCGCTTGGAAGAGTAGGGCCCCTAGGGAGGCTGGGAACTACCTATGGTTTCTGTGCTTCACATAAGTTAACATCCTTAGCTTTCAGCAACCCCTTGGCTGTTTCATCTGCCCTGCAACATCCAGGTGCAGTCTCTTCTCCCCCAGAACACCTGCTTCCCTTAAAACTCACCAGGCTGGCCCGGTAGCACCTGGCAGTGTGGGTAAGGGCATGGTCTGCCCTCTGGCGTGTCAGAACTCCACTCGGAATGCCCCTCTCCAGGAGAGCATGGTCCCAGAGGCCGGCGTGGGGGCAGATACAACCACACTGGCTGTGAGCTCGAGTAACAGGGGCCTGGGGCTTCATGTAACAGCCTCCTATCCAGGCCTG